CCACCCCTCCTCCCTGGCATGGGATTCATGGGCACCAGCTGAGGACAGGGTCCCCTCACTGCCTGCCACAGACATTGGCACCGAGGACCCAGACGCAGAAGGACAGGACATCCCCAAAGAAAAGAGTTTTTCTTTTAAGTTGCTTTTTAAAATATATATGTATATATTTTTAAAAAAATACTGCACCCGTTTTGGTGTGAGGGCAAAGGCGAATGAAAGAAGGTGACTGAGCCAGGAGGAGAGAGCACAGATGGCTTGGTGGTGGTATGGTGTGGTGAGTTGTGGGAAGGAGGAGAGGGGGTCTGGTAGAGGTTGGGGGTGTGCTGAATGAGGACCCTGCTTTCCTCTTTCGTTTTGCTGTGGATGAAGAAGAGAGAAAGAGAGAAAAGGGGTGGGGAGAGAAGCGAGACAGATGGCAGAGTGGAGAGGCGGCAGCCAGTGCCGGCACTGCCCAGCCTGGGCGGACCCACCTACCCCCGCCTGCCAGCTTTCCAAATGCCACCCTTCCCCCATCCTCCCCTCTCCCCATCCCCCCAGCTTGGCACTGATCTCAGAGAGAGAGGGAGGGAGGCTGGGCAAAGAGCATCTGTTCCCTCCATTCTCCCGGCTCCATCGGCTGCCAACCTAGGGCCATCGTCTGCCTCCATCTCCCCTCCGCCCGCCCGCCTGCCCGCCCGCCTACCCACCCAATCTCAAATGGGTGTTGGATCAGGTGCTGAATCTGGGTGACTCCTCGGGTATACCAGTCACTATGCATTGCTGTGTGTCTGCCACCGCTGCCTGGCACTCATGGGGCCGTGTGTGTGTGCGTGTGTGTGCGCGCATGTACATGTATGCATAAGTGCGTGCTGTATGTGAGCCTCCTGGGCATGGGTGGGGGTTGACACTGCGGTTGCCAACCTAGTGTCCAACCAGAAGGACAGAGGGATGGAGTGGAAGGAGGGGAGAGGTGTGGGGCCTGGGAGGGCAGAAGAGGAAACATGAGCTGCTTCATGCTGCCTGCTTATAGGCATTGGCATTACAGCTGCCACCCTTGTGCCCGAGGAGATGGAAGGAGGCGAGTAGGGAGGGGAGCAGCGGCAGGAGTCCTGGTGCTCTGGGAGGAAGGCTGGTACCCGGGAGCCATTGGCATCACATCCATCAGGTTGGTGCCTTGAGCTGGGGCAGTGGAAATGGGCCCCAGGAGGTGGAGAGGAGGGGCAGGGATATTGGCTGGTGTTGCTGTTCCTCTACCGCTCAGCTCTGAGAAACGGTTGGACTGTGGGGTAGTTAGTCCTCTTCTTGGCTGGGAAAGTAAAGTGGTGGAGAGAAGCCAGGGAAGTGCCAAGAAAGCATCTAAGAGCCAGGAGAGGGACTGTGCCACAGCTCCCCAAGGAGAGCCCAATGGGGTTGGCAGTCTGGCCCTTTGTCAGAGCACTAAGGAGAGGCAGGGGGACCTGGGTGTGAGGTGGGTGGATGCTGGCACTGCCCAAGGAGCCTGGCATAGGCTCTGGCAGTGTGAGGAATGGGGGAGGGTGGCAGTGCCTCTTGCCAATCTGGTTGAGAGTTGTGCCAGAAGTGAGAAGGGAGAAGGCGAGTTGTGTGTGTGTGTGTGTGTGTGTGTGTGTGTGTGTGTGTGTGTGAGTTATTTGGGAGGACAGACTTTTTTCTGCCAGGACCTCCTTCCCAATCCCTCTTAGGCATGGGGAGTGGGGCGACAGAAGGAGAGAGGCATGAGGACACAAAGGAGGAAGTGCGCCATTGCCAAGACCCCAAGGAAGAAGGATGGAGAAGCTGGCAGTCCTGCCTGGCCCCCAGCCAGTTCCTGCTGAAGATGGCCAGACCCTCTTGCCTGGTCTGTATATGTTACTGTGCGGGTGTGGTGGGGGAGGGAAGGGCTTGCTTGCTGAACTGGGGTCTAGAATGGGAAGGGCACCTTTCTGCGGATCCCATTTGGACTCTCCACTCTAACAAGTGAGGTGTCTGATTTTCTCCCTGGGGCCTTTCTCTCCTCCCCCTCCCTCTACTCGACCTCTCATCACCCTGTCGCCACCTGAGTCCTATTGCTTGGCACCCAACCAACTAGATGCTGCCACGCTTGGCAGTGCTGCACTGGCATGTGAACAGTGTCTCAGATCCTGGCACTGCGGCAAACCCAAAGCCACCAAACATGCTCATGACCGCCACTTGGTGGCAGTGAAAGAGGGGGCAGCACTGCCAGGCGTTGGGTGGAGCTCTGCTGGGGACTGGCATCAGAGGCTGATGCCCCATCAGGGGGCTGAACCAGCACTCTCTAGCCCGTCCCAACTCCGCCTTCCTCCAACTAGGCAGCTGTCTCCTGCCTACCCTCACAGCCCCAAGAAAGGGATTTAGATGGTGGCACACTCGGTTTAAGCAGCTATTCCAGCAGAAGCTGGAGCACAGAGGGACTAGGGCATAGGTGAGAGCCATACCCAAGGCTCCAGGCCAGCGGGCTATACATTTTTGGTCAGCAAGGACAGGAGACAATCCTAGGAGAGCGAAATGAACGCCCTGGAGAGGCCAGCCAGCTGTTGTCACAGAGATGGTGCCAGAAGAGAGTGGAAGGGAAGTAGAAAGGAGAGACCCGCAGGCCTCGCTATTGGGTGTGAGGTGGTTTGTTCCTGCGCGGATTTTGTTCTGCCCTGTGCCTTGTAATTGGCTGAGCTGTGGTTGAGATGAACCAGTTCTTTCTCCCTTTCTCAAAGGCCCATATTCCATAACAGTACTAGAAAGATGGAGAGGTGCTCTGGGTCTAGACATGCAGGCACCTTGGATTTGTCCTTGCAGAAAAACTGTTCAAGGAGATTTTGTGTTTAGGAATTTCTCAATGGAATCCCAATTAGAGTTGGATAAATGTCTGTATCTTTGAAATCCACCCCTGGAAGGGAGAACGTGGATCAGCAATGAGCCCTGGTAGAGAGGAAGGCCCAGGTACAGAGTCCCCAGCCTCTGCTCACTCGGACCAGACTTATGCCTCCAGAGGCAATGCCAGTCCCACAAAACTGGACCATGGGCCTTCACCTGGAAGAACGTCTAGCAGTTGGATTTTCCTTGCTTCCTGGGTAGCCAGAGACTGTGGGCAGTGACTCGGAAGCTGTTTGGGTAGAATTGGCTCTGGGTGATGTTAGGTGGCTCTGATGAGGGATAGGACCTGCCCAGAGAGAAGTAAAGCCATTGTTTGTGCTGGGCTGAGCTACTTGGAGCTGGGGGAGTTCTGCTTTCAGCATCTCTGGAAGTGGAATGAAACTTCAGAAGAAGCAAGGGGGTTTCCATAGCAGAGGGGACTCAGTGAAGCGCTCAGCCAAGGGAATGAGTGGACAATGGTTGTAACTTTTCTCCTGCTCAAGAACAGCCGACATAAGCAGAAGACACTGTCAGATTTCCAAAATATTGGAGGTGGGGCTGATGTCAGGACAGTGAGGAAGATAATCTCAGGTGATGCTCGGCCCCTGGTGTAGCAGGGCTGGGCTCTGGGTCCTGGAGAGTTGGGGGCAGGTCAAAGATGTGTATGGGGCTGAGTAGTCTAAATTAGTGTTTCTCAAATTCCAGAGAGCACAGAATCCCTTCAGGAGTTTCTGATTCAGTAGGCGTGGTCCTGGAATGTGCATTTTAAACAAACACTCAAGCGACCACAACACAGGGGGCTGAAATGCCAAGAAACACTATTCAAAGCGATGTCAGTCACCTTGTGGGACAGTTGATCTAGTCTGGAGTTATCATGCCTTTTGCATCTTTCTTCTTCCTCCCCAACCATAGTCGTGTCTTTATGTCATCACATATGTAATATATATGTGCTGTGGGATGTGTGTTTTAAGTGGGGCAGCAGGAGGAAAGGGGTGATTGTGAGGTCAAATCAGGCAGATCTAACCTGGGAGAACTATGGTTCCCATTGACAGTAATTATCACAGAAGACTCCTGTATGGAACTCTTTCAAAATGTCCTCTTCCCCTCACCCCAGATTCTGGTGGTTGGCTAGTGTGTGTTTCTAAAACCTCACCACTAAGGACCACTGGTGAGGAGTTATCAGGAAGCTGCTCTCTGGGATCTGGTCAGCTTGGTGTGGATTCTATGGCTCGGTACAGGATGGGTCCTGGTTACACTTCTCTCTCGAGGCAGGTCAGGGTCCCGGTCTCAGAAGTAGGTGAACATAGGCCGGGCCTAACCTGCTGCCAATACTTGGCAAGTTGCCGATGATACTGTCGTTTGAGCACTTGGTGGACTGTCCAGGAGTGAGCACAGTGCAGATACTTCCAGTGGAGAAGACATGGTGCAGGTTTGGTCTCAGGGAGGGGCAGTAGATGTGGGGCAGTGCTCAGCGCCTGCTGGGTACTTGTTCTGGTGTTTTAGCCATTGTTTGTGTAGGAATGTGTGTGTGGTTGGGAAGGATTATGAGTCAATATCGGGTCACCTTTCCCCCTCACCTTCTTTTTGGTCCACTGATAATCATCTGCTTCCCCACTAGCTTCAAGCCAGGTAACCTCTCCATGGCAGGGGAGCCAAGAAACACCAGGCTCACTGACAAGGAATATTGCCATTTACCCCTGTCATTTATGTGGAAGGCTTTCTGGGTTGTCTTTATGGAGAATACATACCGCGTATATGTTCTTCCCATAAAGTTAGTCTCTCCCTGGGAGGTAGGTGTTCCCTGGGGATCACTCCCCAGCTTTCTGAAAACTTGATGAGCGTAATCTAGGTCTTCTATCCATGTCCTCTTTCATTTGAATCTTTTCATAATGTATCCAAGCTGTAATGCTATAGACCCTGAGGCTGGGTCTACACCTTTCTTTTTTTTTAATATATTTTTTATTAATTTCAGAGAGGAAGGGAGAGGGAGAAAGAGAGAGAGATAGAAACATCAATGATAGAGAACATTGATCGGTTGCCTCCCGCACGCCCCTACTGGGGACTGAGCCGGAAACCCAGGCATGTGCCTTTGGCCGGAATAAAACCTGGGAACCTTCAGTGTGCAGGCAGACGCTCTATCCACTGAGCCAAACCAGCTAGGGTGGAGTCTAAACCTTTGTTGTAGCAAGAGCTTTCTTGGTATTGGGGGCATTTCTTCCTTACTCAGTCCTCTAGAAACGTCATCCTCCTGGCTTACAAGTTTCTCACTATTGCTCCCCACTCGTGGTTTGAGCTCCCCACCACAACCTGGAGAGAAATGCTCCCTGGCACCTGGCCCAGTTTACGCCGGTGTTGCATGTAAGTTTTCCCCAAAGGTTCCTCTTGATTTCTACTTCCCTTCCCTCCCTAGTGTCACACTCCAAAGGAATGTAAGGTCCTTGCCCCATGGATTAATGTTCAACATTTGGTTACTTTTCCTGGCACGTTACACTTTCTTGTGTATAAGCTTTTCCTACCTACTGTTGTGTGAAGAAAATTAATATGTATTGGGGGGTGTTTCTACTTAGGGGAGTGTTGGTGATGGGTCTGGGACATGTCCCTTGTGCCCTTGAGGCCTATACTTGCTACATTTGTGGGTATCCCTGCAGCTCTCTCTACACGGTTCTGCTGCTGTACCTGAGGGTGTGCTTGCTTGTTTTGTTGGGGCAGTGACATACACAGAGCTCTGTACTTCAGGTGTGAATATTACACAGGGGTGACTGAGTGATTGCCTGAATGAATGTCTCTTAAAGCAGATCAGGGTGGTGACGATTTGGGGAATCAGTGATCTGGTCTATAAGCCCTGAAAGTGGTTAAGGAACAAATACAAGGAAGTAAGGAGGTAGGTGCTATTATGCCTGGAATAATTGGCTTTTTTCGTTCTTGTGCATGCTTCATAAGTCCACTCAGGCTAGAGGGTCGGGGAAGAACAGGTGTCTGTTTGTGGTCTTATTTCAGATTCTGCCCCATTTGGCCACAAAGGCTTCAGATTTTCATATTCTTCTGCAGACAAGTTTGATTTTGTTCCCACTTGAGAGTTGGGCACCTTAAGCCATCCCTACCCAGACTGATTTAGAGCAAAGACAGCCAAGAACATGTCCACCCCGTCTTCTGGAACTGACTCTGGCAGTAAATAGAGTGGACCAGAAGTTTGATGTTTTAGGACCCACTATGTCAAAAACCCTAGGCTTATGCCACAAGCTGTGGAAGACCAATCTTAGGAACCACCAATTCAGGCTCACTTTAGGGCTGTGACATTATCTACAAAATAGGTGTTGCTGTGTCAGGTGCTTGAGTTGGGTTTCCTACTGCACAGAAGCAACACGATTTGGCCTAGGTGTTCACTTCTAGCATTCTGCATAGGGCTGTGCTCACTCAGCCTTCTGTCCATCAGAATCGCTCACTGCGCATCTCTGGAGTGGGAGTGCTGAGGCCTCCTGGTCTGAGAAAGGGGTGGGGGGAATGCTTCCAGCCACTGGAAATGTGGAGTGGTGTACCCTCCAGAAGCATGATGACTGACCCAAGTCAGCAGAGGCAGCCAGGCTCTTGTCCCCCAAGTCACTGTTCCTGGTAAGGACAGCTGCTCCTGTCTACAATTGGGAGTGTCCCTAGTATCTCCAGGCCAGGGTATCTGGGCGTAAAAGATGATGTTGGGGGGCCGGAGGAGGAGGGATTTCTGGCTATATTAACTCCTGGTGAACACATTCCTTGTTCTAACTAAAGCCAAGCTATGCTGGCTGCAAGTCCCTAAAGTGCACGCCAGCACAACTCTCATCATCCCATGCCAGGTCTTGCCAAGGTTTTCTTTAAAATGTTTCCTCTTTTCTTCCTATTCTTCAAAAAATTTTTTTTGTTTGTTTTCAACTTTTATACATAAGTCACATTCCCAGAAAGCAAAGAGTGAAAAAGTTTCTTCATACACATGCTGCTAAGAAAATAGTTTTATACACAGAATTTCAACAGGAGAGAAAAGGGGTAGGGAGGAAGGGAAGGATGCGAGATGTTGAGAGGTGAGAGAAGGGCAGCTAGAGCAAGACCACAGTAGGCCAGTTCTATCCTCCCGCCTGCATTTATAACTGGCATTTTTGGCATCGTCAGAATAATTCCACCCCGCCCTGGTTTGTTAGCATTGGAGCTTTTAATTTGAGAAATGAAGGGGACAGGGACTAAGGACAGCCATTTTCCTTCCTCCTCTCCCCTTCCGTCTTTTCTGCATATAAGCCACTGCTTCGGTATTAACATGTCCACAGAGTGGAGTGACAGACTGGGAAATCCAAATACAGGGCTGGCTGAATGTGTGTGTGCATCTGAAACGGAGAATCGGAGCGGAGGAAGCCGGAAGGAGAGTCTGGAAGCAGGCTCCCTTGCAAGGGGTGTTCTTAGGGGCAAGGGTAGTAGGAGACACAATCTGTAAGACTGGGAAAGCTTTGGGGGTTTTTCTGTGCTAAAATAAAATACCTGCTTCTCCACCCTATTTCACTTTAGCTGGGCTTTGGGGTTGCTGCACTTACCACCTGATGATTACAGAGAAAATTGGGATAGAGTTGGGGAACCTGTCCCAGCTCATTCCTCTTGGTGACATCACCCTATCAGAGATTCACCTGTGCTTAGTCACCTCCTTGCCCACCTATCACCCTGCAGTCATGCTCTGGCCCCCATGGGGCTCACAGACACTGACTCCTTTGGGGGTGCTCCCAGCAGATGCTGCTTACTGGAGGGGCCGGGCTGAAGGGAACAGGTGCCAGGGCATACAGGGGGGAAGAAAACAGATGGGGAACAAGGGTCCCCAAAGGCAAGGAGGTTTAAGAAGTGACCAAAATATGAAAGGGCCACTAGGGAGGGGAAAAGGAGTAGGGGTTTATGAAAGTTGTGAATGAGAAATGGTGATTAGCTACATGAAAAGGAAGCATACCCAAGACTCAGAAATCAACTGCCCGTCCACCCCTTTCTTCCTGACACTACCAAGATATTTTTGGCAGCGTCGGCTTTTCTGACCCACATCTGGGGATGGGGGATGTTACCTCTCCTGACAAATACTCAGTTCAGGGGCAAGGATGTGTCTCCCCATCTCCAGTGCCCCGACCCCACATGACCAGGGCAAAGCTGCACTACTTTGTCCCCAGGGTCACTGTACCCATGCAAGGTCTTAAAGCCATATGACCTTCCAAAGATGAGGTGCTTTAAAGAAACCCTTAAAATGGGGGGAGGCGACACAAACAGGAAAAAAACCACTTGTTTGATGGGAGAGTTTTCAGGTTTTTTTTTTCTTTTTTTTCCGTATTTTCCAAGTTTGTTTCTTTTTAGTTCATTCCTCTCCATCTCTCACTCCTGTGCACATGTGTGCGCTTTCTCTTTTTTGGTTGTGTGTGTGTTTCAGTTTTTGTTTTGTTTTTTAAAGAACTTTGGATTTGCCGTTGGTGGGCAGCGCCGGTCCCAGAGGCTGGACCCCCACATGGCAGGGCTGGGACAAGGGGCAGGCCCACGGCTGCTGAGAGGATCTCTGTGTTTAAAGCCTTTGAGAATAAGTTACTGCAGTTCTCAGGGTGCAGGGTGGGGGTTGGCAGAGGGATCCCTGGTGGCCGCTTCCCCTGGAGTCCAGGCCACGGGCTCCCCTGCCAGACAAGGAGGTTGGGAGGGATGTGAGGAGAGTGAGCTGGGAGCACTTCTCCCCGCCAACCTAAAGTTTGGTTAGTTTTGTGGGCTCCCTGCCCATCCCAGGCTCCAACATTGGGAGCCAACTGGGTATTTGGAAAGTTTTTGAGCAGATGGTGCTCTAGACAAGGGGGCAGGAAGAAGGGGGAGCGACAGTTTATTTTCCTTCCCCTTCTCTGTCTTGGGGTTTCCTTTTTCTTTCTTTCTTTCTTTCTTCCTTTCTTTCTTTCTTTCTTTCTTTCTTTCTTTCTTCTTCTTCTTCTTTTTCTTCTTCTTTTCCTTCTTTTTGGTGTTTTCTCAGTGGAACAGCACGGGAGAACATGTACTCGTGTGTGTGTTTATAGGAGCTGGGATGTGACTGGGAATTCAGCGGGAAAAAGTTGTAGGAAGATAGATCAGGGACAGATTCTGTGTATGCTGAGCAGAGCAGACATGAGTGAATAATAAGGATGACAAGATGAGGATGTCTGAAGTCACAGGGCAAGGAGGAGTGGAGGTGTGTGTCTGGGCAGGGGAGGAGGCAGGACTCTGCTAGAAGTGGGTGTGTGAAGCCCACTGAGGGTGGGAATTGAGATTCCCAGGAGGTGGGCGAGCTAAAGGTTGGGGAGAGGGATTTGAGCTCCCACCAAACACCCCTTGGGGTAAGAGAGGGAGCCCTGAGGCCCTCCCTCCCAGATCTTGGTTTATCTTTTATCTGTTTATAAAGCTAGAAGTGTAGAGGTAGTAGTAGTTTTGGGGTTGGAGTCCGTGTGAGGTAATCTTGCTTCCTCTTTGGCAAAAGCCACGGCAGCGGTGGCGGCAGTGGCGGCGTTGGTGACGATGATGGGTGGGCCCCCGGGGGGTGGGGCCGCCTTTCGCCTGTGGGCCGAGGAGCGCAGGTGGGAGGCCAGGGCTTCACGCCCACTCAGCAGCACCTCACATGCCAGGCAGTGGTAAGTGCAGATGGGCACCCGAAGTGGGGGGGGCATGGAACCCCCAGGACCCCGCCCAAAGAAACAGAAGGATCTCTGATGAGCAGTGGCTAGAGCCTCCCCGTCAAATGCCATCTTGCACTGGCGGCACAGGTAGCGGTGGGTCACGTCCACGGTGGAGATGCCAGGGCTGCCTGTCAGCAGCTCGTCCGCCTCCCCGGTCTCCCCCTCCCCTGGAGCGGGCAGGTCAGGAGGCTTTGGAGGTGCTGTGGCTGTGGGCTCAGGGGGCTGGGGTGGTGACTGGAGGAGGGCACTGGGGAGTAGTCCGATGAGGGTCTGAGGTATCACGGGGTTCATTGGAAATAGCCCCTTCTTCATGCCATAAAGCTGTTGGAAGTAGGCTCCCTGTAACTGGGGGCCAAAGACAGCTGGTGGTGTGGCCCCTCCTGCAGGGGGCAGTGGGAAGGGCAGGAACTGGCCCCCCAACAGGGCTGGGACAGTGGCCTTCAATGCTTTGAGGTTCTTGAGGGCATCAGTGGAGGAGTTGGTGGGGGCTGCAATTGGTTTTCGCTCACCAGAGACCTTATCCCCAGAGGGCTCAGTAGGCGGGCCTGGGGCAGGGTCAGTGGTGCCTGCCGTGGAGGTGTTGGTTTGGTCGGGCACAGATCTCTGAGGTAAGGGGCAGCCTGGGCCAGCAGTCTGGACCATTGTGGTAGCAGGCAGAACCGAAGTGGCGAGGCCAAGGAGGCCTGAGGAGGCTGCAGGGCCTAGGAAGATGAAAGGAATGATGAAGGAAGGATTAGCCACCTCTTGGCCCCTCCTCTTCCCGGCTATAGGCCTCCTCCAGCCTCACCCACCCATTCCCACAACTAGCCTCCATGATCCCTTTCCTTCCTTCTTTCCCCCAAGAACCTGAAGCCAAGACCACAGGTGACTGGAGATGGGAAGTCAAGAAGGGAAAGGAAGGGCATGTCATTAGAGGGAAATGCTCTCTGAATTCCAACTCCTCCCAACCTTCCACTCACCTGAATTGAAAGGAGCTAGGCTGCCCAAGGGGGGCTGGGCCAGAGCTGGGCCGGGCAGGAGGACTGGGGCCAAGCGAGGCAGGGCTGGGGCAGCCCCCAGGGGCATAGAGGCAGGTGTGGTGGCAGGTGGGGCCTTGGGAGCCGGAGATGCCTCAGGTGCTGGAACCAAGTCATAGCACTTGCTTTCACTCTTCAGCTGGGCTTGGACCGCCTCCTTGAGTTTGGCCAGGTGCTGGCGGGAAAAGAGATGGCCTCGGCAGGAGACATAGAAATCATACTTGACATCACAGTAGGGACAGTCAGTGCGCTGGGCTCCCGAGGGGCCCTCGCTGCTGCCCCCAGCCCCGCCAGCTGCTGCCCCCTGCAGTTTGGCTTTCTTTTCCTTGGCACGAGCATTCTGGAACCAGACTTGGATGACTCTCTTGGGCAGCCCAATCTCCTCCCCCAGCACCTCACACTCCTGCATGGTGGGGGTGCGGTAGGCTTCATAACAGGCTTTCATGATCTTCAGCTGCAGGCTGCTCATCTGGGTCCTATAGCGCCGCTGCCCCATCCCATCTGTAACCCCAGCCCCACCCGGTCCCCCACTGGTCCCTCCAGCCCCAGGGGATTCTGGTTCAGCCAGGCTGGAAGCAGACGAATCGCTTAGATCTCCTGCAGATGGACTGCAAGCCTCACTCTCTGGAGAAGCTTTTGTGGGTTCCTCTGGGCCGTCATCCTCACTGGGGGGAAGGGGAGGAGGGAGAGGTAGAGGTGGCTCTGGTGTTGGGATGGCGGCCTCTTTCCCAGGAGGCAGGAAAGGCAGGGGCCCTGCAGTCGGGGTGACCGTGGGGTAGGGAAAAGCAGGTGCTTCTCTCTTGGGGGCCTCCCTCCCAGTCCCATCATCCACCTTGCCCAACAAGAGGTTGAACTTGGGGAAGGGTGCAGGGGTGGGTGTGACAGGGGGCTTGACCGCTGGATTGGGCACTCCCCCAGGGGTGCTTCGAAACTGGCCTTTCCTCTCTCGGGCCCTGGTATTCTGGAACCAGACCTGCACCACCCGCTTTTTGAGCCCCACCTCCTCGGAGATGCAGTCCAGCATCTTGCGTGTTGGGTTGGAGTCCTGCATGTACCAGCGGTACAGGATCTCCAGCTGCTCGGGCAGGATGGTGGTACGCAGGCGCTTGTCCCTGGGGGGCTCACCTTCCCCTCCACCCCCTGCTTCACTGCCCGTGGGAGACAAGCTACCATCCTCGTGCTTCCGTTTGAGGGGTGGCCCTGGCACTGGTGGAGCGCCTGCCACCAGGGGGTTTCGCTCCCCAAACACCAGCAAGGGTAGATCTAGGAGGTGGGAGGCAGCACCGGGCTGCGCAGATGGCAGGAAATGTAGTCGGCGGTGACTGGTCAGGAGGTCCTGGCTGGAGAAAGACATGGCGCATTGGTCACAGGTGTGGGCTGGGGCAGGTGAGGGAGAAGCCCTCCCTTCAGGCTCTCTGCCTTCTGGCTTTGTTGCTTCTGCTTGGCTCAGCTCTTCCCTGTCTGGAGGTTCTGGTGATGGGCCCTTGGGACCTTTTGGGGGTTCCGGGCCCTGCTCCTCCTCTGCATCTTCCTCCTCTGCTTCCTCCTCCTCTTCCCCTCTCTCTGCCTCTTCCTCTTCCAGGGGCTGGTCATCATAGCATTTCTTAAGGTGTCGCACCAACTCAAAAACACAGGAGAAGGCGGTGTGGCAGCGCCTGCAGCCAGAGACTCCCCCTGTGCCTCCCGCGGTTGGTGCAGGCCCGCCCTCGCTGGCATTTTTGCGTGCTTTCTGGCGGGCATTCTGGAACCACACTACCACCACACGGCTAGCCAGGCCCAAGAGACTTGCAAGCCGCTCCACCTCTCCATCCTTGGGGTAGGCACTGGTCTCAAAGAAAGACTGCAGGGCTTGCGTCTGGAACTCTGTGAACTTGGTTCTGGAGAATCGGCGGCCTGCAGGCAGCAGGGGAGGAAGATTCCCTCTGGCGTTGTCTTCCTCCTCTGGGGGCCAGTGTCCCGCCCGGCTTCGCTCCTCAGCGGGATGGGCCACCTCTGTCTCGGGCTCTGGCACCAGGAAGGGCAGACCCAGTTGGGGAGCAGGCGAATCCAGAGACCCATCAGGAGGTTTGGGGGGCTCTGCAGGGGGCGGGTAGAGGCTATCATAGCTCTTTCGAAACTGAGCAGCATAACGGCTCAGGGCCTCAAAGGGCAGAAAGCGGCGGTGGACATGCTCCTCGTGTGTCTTGAGGATGAGCATATTAGAGAAGAGTTTCCCACAGGCCCTGCAGGCCAGCTTCTCCCCACCCCCCAGGGCCTCTGGAGGGGGTGGGGTGGGAGGAGGGGGCACAGCCTGCTTCCCTTCATTGTACTGAATCACCAGCTCAAAACCAAAGTTTTCCAGAAGGGCTTTGGCTGCAGTGTGGGCTGCCTCGTTGGGTGTTGGTTCGGGGGGTGAGGCTGTCCCTGCCTCAGTTCCCTCTTCAGCTATGGGGGGCTGCTCCCATTCCCGCTCAGCCAGCTCAGCCTTTGGGGGTGGAGGTGGGGGCAGAGGGGCGGCAGCTGGCAGGGACAGCAGGGGTGCAGGCCCAGCCAGTGCCAGCTTGGGCCCCACCTTGAGGTCATGGAGGTAGAAGGGCAGGAGCAACTGTTGCTGCTGGAGCTTAAGTAGTGATTCGGGCACCAAAGGGAAGGGGGGCAGGACCGGCGGGGTGAAGAGAGGGGCTGGGAATCGGTGCAGGTCCAAGGGAGGGGGAGGAGGGGACAGGAAGGGCAACCCAGATATGAAGCCGCTGGGGTCAGGGCCCTTCTTCTCAGTGCCCGTCTCCCCCTCAGTCTCGCCTTCTTTGGACTCTTCTTGGCCACGCTCTGGCCCCTCAGCCTTGGCATCAGTCTTGGCCCCCCGTGAGCGAGTCTGGTGCAGAACTGAGCGCATGTGGATCTCCAGGGTGGAGCTCTGGTTGTAGGAGACGCGGCAGACCGTGCACTTAAAGGGCTTGTCTGTGGCCGCAGTGGTGGCAGGCGCTGAGCCAGCCTCTCCCCGGGCAGGGCCAGAGGGGTCAATGGCAGCTTTCTTCATCTTGTGCAGGTGGGACACAGAGTTATAATGGACCAGGAGGATATTCTTCTGTGTGAAGGACTCTTTACACACAGTGCACTTATAGGGCCGGGCAGGGTCAAGGAACTTGTCCAGTGCAAAGTTGGTGGTCTTCCGATAGGTCAGAGCTGGGCGCGAGTCCGCTGGAGCTGGTTCTGCAGGGCGGGGCTCCCCAGCAGTTCCCTCTTCCTCCTCAGCCATGAGGGGCAGAGCAGCCATTTCTTCAGCCTGGGCATCAGGTCGAGGGGCTGGAGATGGGGCTGGAGAAGGGGGTTGGTCAGGGCTTCCTGTGGGCTTGTCTGGGGCCTCGGCTGAGGGCAGGGGCGGCTCAGGAAGAGGACCAGGACTGGCTTCTGGAGGCGGTTGAGGGCCTTCTAAGGGAGAGAAGGGGTTGCAATGAGAAGGGAACTTTAAGTCAGACCCCACCCACTCATTATCAAGGGCAACTGATCCCTGCCTCAGTTCCTTCAGACTTTCTTGGTCTGTGAAGCCCAGGTCCCCTTTCCTGCCACCTTGGGAGGCTTGCCATCCCCCTCCTTACCTGCTGCCTGGTCTCTGCCGGGTGCAGGCTCTGGCCCGGGAGCCAGGGGCACTGGGCCATCCCCCAGAGGGCTGAGAGAGGGCCCAGGCAGCACTTTGGTCACAAAGGTCATCTCTACCGTTGTGGCCTGTAATGGAAGAAATCCCAGTGACTTCTTTCTCGCCCTCTGGCTACTGCTATGCCTATGCCCAGCCCCTTTGCACGGCTCCAGTATTGTCTCTGAACAGACCTCCCACCTAACTTCTGCTTTTCCCACAGAGGAGAGGGCCTGGCAGGCTGGGCCTGCTGTTGAACAGCTCTTCTCGGGACCTACTGTGAGTGAAGGAAATGCTTAGCCGCCTCCCAGGAGAGTAAGGCAGTAGATAAGCTCCACTCGGTCCCCTCCAACTCTAAAATCCACCTTCAAATCTGTGAAATGCTGTTTCTATCACCAACACCCACCCTGCAACACACACACTTGCCCGGCACCCCTGCCTCTGCCTCCCTCTGACCCCTCCTGCCCAGCCTGACAGGGCTCCCTGGACGGGTCCTCACCCAACCTGTACTCACCACAAGCAGCAGCTTCTCAACACACTCAGGCACCACGTTGTGAAGGTGGCTAAGGTGGAAGTGCAGGGCAGGCCGGCCCACCAGCTGCTCCTGGCACAGCGGGCACCTGTACTTAGGCTGCACTGCATGATGGGAGAGCGCATGAGCCCTCACCTGCTCTGACTCTGGGCTCAGGAAGCTGCAGTATGGACAGCAGTACACCTGGGGGCACACGGGCGGAGGGGGTGTCAGGGACGGGTGGGACCTGCCATCACGCAGCCTTTACGCTCCTGTACAATATCCGCTCCCAATAAAGAAGCGAGCCCAAGGGGAAGGCATCACTGTGGACCCAGCCACAGTCCTGAAAGCTGGCTCCTCCCTGGTTTCCCACGGCCTGGGACGAAGGCCTAAGCTAGGACCCACCTTGCCTTCTTTGTCTGGCCCTCTTGCTCTATCCTGGTCTCTGTCTTTCCTTGGTCTGGCTTTCCCCGTCTCTGCTGATAGTATGGCCCTGTACCGCCCTCCCTGGGATTTAGTTTTCTTAACCACTCTCATACCGCCTGTATCATCTCCCTGAAATGGTTCCCCTTCCCTCTGGCACTTGCTGCACCCAGAGTCTCCCTTGTCCTGGCCCACTGTGCCTCCCCAAGGTCCCTGAACTAAGTGTCTCCCTACCTCTCTACTCAGAAGTCAGCTCATTCTCCCTCAGAGGCTCAGCAGTTCCCACTTTCTTTTCCTTCTTTTATTTTTCTTCTCTTCTTAATGCAAACAATAACCATAGCTCCCTCCGTGGCTCAGGAAATTCTGGCTTGACTTCTTGCCCACACCTCTGGAGGATGGGACTGGGGAGCCTGGGCGCCCCTCTGTTTCCCCGAGTCCCCTGTGTGCCTGATCTCCAGCCTGCATTTGTCTCCCTGGCGCACGCCCTCTCCTGCCCCCTGTGCCATCAGCCCAGGCCTGCACAGCAGGAAGGGGACGCTCAGCTGCATGCACCTAGGCCTAGGAGTAGACATCTGGAGTAGGTCTGCTGAGGGAGTACGGGTTGGGAGGGGAAGCTGAGGACATAAGCCATTACTGCAGCAGTTTGAAGGAAGGCAGTCATGATAAATACTGCATATTGCAGTTCCAGTTTGGAGAGCTGTGAGGCACTCAAAATCAATACTTTCAGGCCACAGAGCTAGACTACTGGGGCCTGCCTAGGTCAGGCAGAGGCCTGGGTCCAGAGACTGAGAGACCTGCAGTGCTTGCTGTCTGGATGAATCATCTGGGCTGGTGCCTCTACCCTCAGGGAGGGGGGCCAGGACACTTCCCTCCAGGCTCAGGGCTTCCCGTTGGAGATGAACATCCACATCTAGTTGCCTTTCTGTTCATAACAGAAATAAAGAGCCCGGCGGCAGCTAGTTTTTTGTTTTTGCCTTCTTCATTTCTTCACTTCTTTCCTCCCCTCCTCCCTCCACCCACCTCCAATCTTTCCTGCCCTCAATACAGTTCTCTCTTCACCTTTCTCTCAAATTCCTGCCATCCTTCCTGGCATCTCCCTCTGTGCCCACCCCTGGGGGCCAGCTCTGCCCCCCTTAGCCCAGAACAGCCATAACTGGGCCCACGTGGGATTTCTTTAATCATGTATTTTGAGTTAAATAAGTCACAAGCACGACAAAATTAGGTCTACCCTTGGTCTGAAATCTCTGTAAAGCTCTGCTGATTAGAATTTCAGCTTTTAGAACATGAGTAGATCCCAGTAAAACTAGATCCCCCTCAGCTCTTCCCAGTTACCCCAGTTCTGACCGTGGTCTGGTTGGCACTGTCTCCAGGAGGACCGGTCTTGTTCTCTGCCTCTTCAGAAGCTGAAGATGAAAGGAGAGGAGATTGAGTAAGAGACTCCCCAAACCTCCTCTTCCCTTCACAGACCCTCAGCTCTTAAGATGACCTGATTTGTAGCACAGAGCTTCCAGGGTAGGGGGCGGGGCTCTGGGGAAAGGTAGAAAGGGCAGAAACATACAGAGCTATACTGAGTACAGCGAGGGGAGGCTGGCTCAGCAGGGCTGAGCCCAGGTTAGTGGGATGGCCAGGTTTGGGTCCTCGAAGAGAACAGAAGCACCCAGCCTTCTGTGGCTCTGCCTCCCTCCCCTCTGATGTGTCCTTTCTTTTGATCACTTTGGCTCCTTTATCCCAGGCCTTGCAGGGTGTGTGGATACTGCAAAGTCCCATGAGCATCTCAGAATGTATTAGGATTAGGGATGGGGAGGGCAAGGGATGGAGGAAAATTAACCAGATGAGCAACTCACCTAATTGTTCTGTCTTATTCTGGGCATCTTTCTCAGGGGTGGGTGGCTCAGCTAAGGGGGCAACAGGAGCCTTCCCTGTGTAGAGGGGAGAGTCAGCTTATAAGGTTGAAGCATCAGGAAAGGGAAGAGATAGAGCAAAGAAAGCAGGACAAGCAGCCAGGCAATGAGGGAGAAAATGGATGGATGAATCAACAGGCAGCGGAGGACAAAAAAGAAATACAGAAGAGGAGAGCCTACGAAATCATCCCTGGGAGTCCAGTCCCTGTCACTTGAAGATAAGCAAATAAGCCCAGCAGTAGGTGACAGAAACAGGACCAAACTCAGCTCCTTGTCATGACTGATCCTGGAAGCAAGGAGCCTAGAAATGTAGAGGGAGAGGTGCTGAAGAAGGAAGGTGAGTTTGCATGGAAGCAGCTGTAGTGAGCAGGAGGCGGCAGGTCTAACTGGGAGAGGAGATTACCACTCAAGTAAGAATTGACAGATGTGTAGGAATTTATTTTCGGTGGCGGCCTAATTAAAGTGTTAAAGTTCCTTAACTCCATTCAGCCTTGCGCCAGGATCGTTAGCTATTGATCTGGGCCCCTCCAGCACTTAACTCCAGCCAGCATATTGGCAATTCAATTAGCACAGTCAATGCTGCCTGTTCCTGGTTCCTGCTGCCCGAGCCCCAGCCTCGCCCACCACTGGTCTCTGTGAATCCCGGACAGACGCTGTGCTCACCTCTGACAGCCCCTTCCAGGCCCTTCTGCACCCCATGCGGGCCCTTCCCAGTTTCTGCAGTTACACCCTGCAAACTGAGCTGCCTTGGGGGACCCTCAGCCCAGCCTTCGGGCTGAAGACCTCCTAGGAGACAGGAAAAGGCTGGGGAGCTTGTCAAGGGCTTCCCACCTAGGCTGCCTTCAGACCATGCCCACAGCCCCCATCAGTTTCCCATATGTCCTGCCCCATTCTTTTCTTTCTGCCTCTGTCCTTCCTGACCAGCTCCTGCCCACCTCCCTACCCAGCGTTGCTAGGACACTGGTCAGTACTTGGAACCACTGGGTGACTCCTCCTCACCTCTCTTCCTGTTTTCTGCTTTTTAAATCCTCACCCGAGGATATTTTTCCGTTGATTTTGAGAGAGAGGGAAGAGGGAAAGACAGTGAAAAATATCGATGTGAGAGAAACATATTGATTGGTTGCCTCCTGCACACACCCTAACTAGAGCCCAGGCTGGGGAGGAGCCTGCAACCAAGGTACGTGCCCCCTTGACCATAATCGAACCCGGGACCCTCTGGTCCACAGTCCAGTGCTCTATCCACTGAGCAAACCAGCTAGGGTTGTTCTCTGTTTTCCACCCAGCAAAGTCCCTGCCCTTCTCTGCTTCCTCCCTCCAACAGCCTCTTGGCCCCACTGCTCCTGAAATCTGGAGCAGACCTGTTCCCCTTGTATCACTTTCTCTTCAGCCCTCAGCTCCTTGCCAGCTGCCCTCTCTGCCCAGCCCTACCCCTTCAATCCCCTCTGCCTCACCTGGAGTCCGGAGCTGCCCATGGCTGAAGCTAAGGATGCTCTGAAGAGCTGAGAGCCCTTCCTCGGCCGCCGGGCCACTCTGTAGCAGCTGCAGGCGCCGCTGGGCCTGGGCATCGCGGTGGGCGGGTGCTCGCAGGTGCTGCAGCAGGGCCAGGCGGGAGGGCGTCTCCCAGGCACACAGCAGGCAGCGGAACAGTCCCAGCTCTGCCCCTGCCGCTGCCCCCTCCATCTCCAGAAGAAACTGGAAAAATGGAAAAAGGCAGGTCAGGCCCAGAAGGAACAGATACCTTCAGATCTCGGGGGCTCCTTTACCTTCCCCAAGGGAGCCTCACCAGCAGCACCCCGACCCAGCCCTTCCACCCTCTTCGCTCCCCTATTCCTTCCTAAGGCCATTTGAGTGTTACTGCTTTTTCTCCCCAATCCCCTCTTCCTCCTACCCATCCTGGGCTCTCCTGGTGTGTGAATGGAATCTGGTTCTCTTCTCAAACTTCTGGTGATAAGATGGGCTGAATAGAGACAGAGTCCTCTCTCCAGCCCCGAACACCAGAAAAGCAGAGTAAAATATTGGATTCACTTTGTTCGACTAAGTCTACCATCCTTGGCCTCTTTCTCTGCATCTTTTTTCTAAACAGTGTATTATTCTGTGCATAGTACATGCCTTTAAAAAAAACTGGTTTTTTAAATCTTATTGATTTCAGAGAGGAAGGGAGAGGGAGAGAGAGAGAAATATCAATGATGAGAGAGAATCATTGATTGGTTGCCTCCTACACAACCCATTGGAAATTGAGCCCGCAACCTGGGCATGTGCCTGACAGGGAATCGAACCATGACCTCCTGCTTCATAGCTTGATGCTCAACCACTGAGTCACGCTGACTGGGCCATACATGCCTTTTTCTCCAGTTCTGCCACCTAGGGCTTTCCCATCCCTTTCCACTTCCCTCTCCCTGAGGCATCTGCTCTGCCCCTCACCTGAGGCCTTCCTACCCCTCACCTTGTAGACCTGGCTGTTTTCCTCGTGGGCTGCCCCCCGGGCATGTAGCTGCATCTTCTCCTTGCTGTTGGACTCGAAGTCACAGATGTTGCAGCGCAGGTGCAGGGGGGGCACAGACCCATAAGGAGTCCCATCTCCCAGGGGCATGGGGGAGAGAGTGCCCGTAGCCCCACTGCCCTCCCTCAGGTGGGCTGCCAGCTGGTACTTCTGAGCATGTTTGTCGGTCTTGAGGTGGAGTTGGAAGTTGGCCTTGAGCTGGGTGCCATAGCAGCAGAGCTTGCAGCGGTGGGTGTCACCGGCCACCTCCTTCCATTCGGCCTCCGGGAGGCTGCGGCCCATGCTGCAGTGGTAGAGCAGCAGCTCCAGGTTGTCTGTGCTGAAGGCCTGGCACACCAGGCAGCGGAACACCTTCAGAGATGGGCTGTCATCTGGGGGCGGCGAGGTGGGCAGGCCCTCGGACAAGGAGCCCAGGAGCTGACTTTGAGGCAGGTGGGCGTCCGGGGAGAAGCTGCCAGGGCCTTGGGGACAGAGACAGGTTAGTGGCCCAAGGAAGGAATGGAGCAAGGTCAGTTTGGTCTGTGGGAATGTGGGTGGTGGGTAAATAAGGATAGTGCTGTGGGCGCTGGTGTTACCTAAGGGCAGGTGGGCTGGCCCTTAGGAGAGAGCAGGGAGTTGCGTTTCACCCTTGAAGGGGGAGCGAAAGGGAAGAGGCACAGAGCCAGGAGCTTACCAGGCGTGGGGAACCTTCGGGCAGGCGCTCCGAGATGGTGGAAGCCGTTGAGAAGCAGCTGGGATTCCAGGGGCTTGTCTGGCCTCAGCCCAGGGCCAGGCAAGGGAGCCTGGGGCTGCCCTAAGGCCTGGGGCCCGAAGTACTGGAAGAGTTCAGGCGGAGTGGCAGGGGCACCTGTTGGGGGCGGAGGGCTTGGCCCCACAAGCCCAGGTGGCAGGCCCAGCGGCAGCCCCTGGTGGAGCATGAGGACATTCTGCATGTGCTTCTCAGAGGTCATGTGGATGCGCAGGTTGCGAGAGATGTTGGTCTCATAGCTGCACACCTTGCACTGCCAGGACGATTTGGTCTTGGGTTCCTTGTCCCCAGAGCAGGGCGGAAGCGGTGCCTCTGGGGGGCTTCCCTGCCCACCGGGCCCGGCCTGGAAGCCCTGCAGGTTGGCCAGGTGCTTGTCAGACTGCATGTGGATGCTGAGGTTGCCCTTGGTGGTGGTGGAGTAGTTGCAGATGTCGCAGCGGTAGGGCTTGTAGCCACAGTTGTAGCTCTCTCCCCGCGCCAGGCGGGGGTGGGCGCCCCCAGCGCTGCAGTAGCTGCAGTGACTGTTGCTCTCAGGGTGCTTCTCCCGCATGTGCACATCCAGGGTCTGCTGGTACTTGTAGTGCCAGTTGCACTTGGGACACTTGAGCGTCTTGCAGGAATTGCGCGAATGAAGCAGAGACATGTGGCTGGACAGGCTGAGGCCCTGGAAGGCTGCGGGGGCTGGGGTGTAGTCCTCGGCTAGGCGGTAGGGCTGGGGTGGGTCACTGGGGTCTTCGGGGGAGCCCACTGGGACGGGGAGAGTGCCCCCCTCCTTGCAGGTGGGTGAGCTTTGGTTAAGTGGGGGGCAGAGCCCTCCATCCTCTTCTTGCCCCTCGGGGAACCAATCTGGGCCTGCCTCCCCTGCTGCCGTTGGTGATTCTTTGGCTTGGGTTGGGCTGGGACCCCAGGTGGCTGGGGTAGCGGATGGGGAAGGCGGACTGAGGGTTATGACGTCTTCTGTAGGCAGAACTAGGGCCTGGGTTTCTGCCTCAGGGCAGCCATCCTCAGTCTGGGCTACATTCGCCTCCAGGCTCCCTGTGCTGCTGTTGTCAAGGGGCATTTCTGAAGGGGGGCAAGCAGGTGGTTTTGGTTCCAGGAAGCTTAGGAGGGCCACGCAGCCCTCCTCCCCCTCCTGGAGCACAGCTGGGTTGCCTGGTAGGCCCTGGTGTTGAGCAGAGGTTAGCTTCACCCCATGAGACTGTGTATGACCCACGAAGGCCTGGGACTGGCTGAAACCCAGGCGGCACAGGAGGCAGAGCCAGAACAGTGCCCGGTGGTCTCCCCCCCTGCTCCCAATGGGGCCATCTTTGGGATCTCCGGGTGGGTTTGGTGCTAGCTGGTAGCTCCAGAAGGCTCCATCCCTTCCCTCACAGGTGGCCGGAGATGGCGCTGAGGTATCATGGGACAGAATTTGGTCAGAAGAGCTAAAGCCTTGGATTGGGTCAAAGCCATGTTGGATGTGAAGGGCAGTGAGGTGTGTAGGGGGCGGGTGGGGTAGGCTGGGCTCTTCCTTGGTGCCCGCCTCACCCCAGGGGAAGCCCTTTGGTAACAGCAGTTGACTGCCACCCGGCAGGGACAGCGTGGCCACAAGGCAGGCCTCACCGCCAGCTGTGAAGAGTAAATGGTTGCTTAGGTCCACAGGAGGGAGCCCGCCTCCTTCCTCCTCCTGCTCCTTGTCCTCTTCCACCCCCAGGTCCTTTGGTGGGAAGCCACCACAGCCAGGCTCTTCTTGGGGCTCCCCAATCTCCTTTGGTGGGATGAGGCCACAGCCCGACTCCAGAGGCTGTCCCCCTGGTTCTGAGGGCCTCATGCTCTCAGAGGTGGAATCTTTGGTGACAAGATCAGGGGGGATGCTGGGGGAAGAGGTGTCCAGAGGTGGGGACAGGGCATTGTGCCCAGGGGGTGGGGAGGTGCCAGCAATAGAGGATGAGCTAAGGGAGGCCATGGCAGACGGAGAAGTGCTGGGGGTTCATCTCAGCGTGACAGCCAGTACCCTGCAAGGGAAACACAGAGAGAGCAGTGTTGTCAGGTAGCCGGGGAGACAGCAGCTGACCCTCCTGCTACTCCGGCCCCACCCTCTTCCCTGAGCACCAGACTCAGGTACCCATGTGCCACATTGAAACTTCACTTAGTGTCTAACAGGCACTTCAAACTTAACATGTCTAAAATCAGAACTCTTTATTCCTCCCCTGAATTTATTCTTCCCCATCTCCTATCTCAGAATTTGGTACAACTATTTATCTGGTTGCTTAAGGTAAAAACCTAAAAATTGCTTTTGCTCCACAATATGCAATTGACAGCAACCTCTCAAACGTGTCCCATCCCTCCATTTGTCTTCATCTACACCAGCACATCCTGGCCCCAGCCATCCTCATCTCTCTCCTGAGCTAATGCAATGGATTCCACCACTGCCCCTCCAATCCAATTTCCTCCCAACCAGCATCCAAGTGAGCTTTCATTTAATTCTCAATTATGAAAAATGTCAAACATATATAAAAGTAGACCAAATAAAATAAGGAACATCTTTGTACTCATCACCCAGTGTCAACAGTCACCAACTCATGGCCCTCATGGCCAATCTTGTTTCATTTATATCCTTGCCCACTTCCCCCTTTTCCTATATGGTTTTAAAGCAAATTTCAGGCATCATAAAGAATCATCTTTTAAAATGTACATCATACTATATTCTGCTTAAAATCCATTAATGATTTCGCACTGCTTTGTGAATAAAATCCAAACTTCTTTCCCTGATTTGCAAAAGGGTCTATCTGATCTGACACCTGCTTGCCTATCCTCCCACCACTGCCTGGCTGGCCAGCTCTAGCCCATTAGCCTTGTTTCTCAAACACACCAAGTTAATTCCTACCTTAGAGCCTTGCCTAAGCTGTTTACTCTGCCTGGAATGCTCTCCTGATGGCTCCTTGTCATTCAAGTCTCTGCTTAAATACTGCCTCTTTCAACAGGCCTTCTCTCTAGAACAGTGGTTCTCAACCTTCCTAATGCCGCGACCCTTTAATACAGTTCCTCATGTTGTGGTGACCCCCAACCATAAAATTATTTTTGTTGCTACTTCATAACTGTAATTTTGCTACTGTTATGAATCGTAATGTAAATATCTGATAAGCAGGATGTATTTTCATTGTTACAAATTGAACATAATTAAAGCATAGTGATTAATCACAAAAACAATATGTAATTATATATGTGTTTCCGATGGTCTTAGGCGACCCCTGTGAAAGGGTCGTTCGACCCCCCAAAGGGGTCACGACCCACAGGTTGAGAACCGCTTCTCTAGAAGCTAAACAACCCCCCTGAGGAGGTAACTTCCCTGAGTCAAGGTCCTCTTGCCAGAGAGGCTACAGTGAAATTTCCATTGGCCTATAGGTACGGTGCTGCTCGAAGATACCTTCCAGACCCATCTCTGGTCAGTTGAAAGACAACAGCTTTTATCGGATTAGCCTCCTCCTCCCCAAAGAGATAAAAGAAAATAAAAAATAGTAATAATCTTACTAATAGCTATTAAGGTACATATACCATGATTGGTCCTAGCACTGTGCTAAATGCTTTACATCATCTCATTTAACCTCATAACCTTATTTTACACATGCGGCAGCCAAGAAAGAGAGATTGAGCAAGCTGTTGATGGGCACTCAGCTCCAAGTGGTAAAACTAGAAAAGGACTGGCGGGCAGAGCTATATCCCAAAGCTGTGGCCTGGGCTCCTCCATCCAGTCAGACTGTCCCTCGGACACAGTACAGGCAAAATGGGCCTCCAAAGGTCTAGAAATCAGGATTCCTGGGCTCCCTCTAGCGGTCCAGAAGTACCAAGCCTCGGCATGCTGCTCCCGACCATTTTATTTTGATACTACACCCCCCCAAAACTCACCAATCCCCATGCCTCACCATCCTATACTTCTCTCCATGTCCCAAGTGGTCTACAGCCTCTCTAGTTCTTAATATCAGCAGATCTCTAATGATTAAATCTTTAGCACTCAGGCCAGAGTGCTTCAAGGAAGGGATGAGGTGTATGGCCTTCTCCTTCCTTGAGCCACCTCTAACCATCACCTCCAGATTCCTGAATTTGGAATGGGTCCCTGGTCTGGCCCCACCAGCCTGCAGGCCCAATTCTGTCCCCCTCCTGGGGGGCTAGCCAGGCGTGAAGTCAAAGCCATTAAGGAGCTCCGAATGGGGCTGGACCTGCATGCTAATGAAAATGCAAATAAGCACCTGGGCAGGGGTGGAGGAATGGGGATGGGGGGGGGGGGGGGGGGGTGGAAGAACCAAAAAGGAAGTAAAGGAATTAGAGGGAGGGGAGTCTATCCTCCAGAAAGAAGCCCTAACGCTGTGGGAGAAAGGTATTCTTCCGACAGAATCTGGGGGTGGGGTAGGGGGGATAAGTGTGTGAGGCTCTGACATTGCCCTGTCCCACTCCCACAGCAGGGCCCAGTGCCGTTCACTCACTGCCCCACCTAATGGGAACGGGCCTCTCCAGGGCCCTGTCACCAAGGCCAGAAGCGAGTGCATCGTCTTCCCCTGGCCCACCCTGCCTGTATCACATCGACCAGCTGCACTCCTTCTCCCTGGCCCCCGACTTACAACTCTAGATCAAACTTCAGAGGGGAGCTAGGAAGACCTAAGCCCCAAATCCTCTCTCCAAAGCTGCTACTTCCCAATACTGGGGGTGGGGGTGGGGGAGACCCAGCTGATTCGTTGCTAGAAAGCGAAGGAGCCGAGCTTTGGGCTAGAAGAGCCTGTGTGTGAGACCCAGCTCTGCTCGGGTAGGTCGGCAGCTGTTTAAACTTGCAAATCTCTTCCCCACCTCCCACCCTGCCCCTCCTCCTCTTCAGGAAAGAATTTCAATTGCAAATTTATCTCTGCCTCAGTGCCCGCCCCCCCCCCCCCCCCCCCGTTCCTTCTCAGTGCTTCTCCCATCACCCACTATTGATTACAAACCTTTAACTGCAGCAATTATTTTTTCACTTTTTTCCCTCCATTTCCCTCCTCCTCAGTCTTTCTTTCCTTCCCTCTCTGAATCTCCGAGTCTCTTTCTTTGCCCTTCCAACCTTGAACTCAGTTTTCATCTCTTTCTGGAGATGATGGAGACCCAGGTGACAAGCCTAAGTCACCCCCACACAGAGTCCTGTTCTTCAGACCTCTGCCATTTCTCTCTTAGTTCTGGGCTTTCCTCAAGGGCCTCTTCTCCCTCTGGGCACATCTTAGCAGGGGAAAAGGGAAAAGGCAACCCCTCAAAGGTCCTGGTGTTCCTGCCTCTGGGAGGGAAGGAGGAAGAGGATGGGACAGGTGTAGGGTGGTGGTGGGGTGGGGGGGACAGTCAAAAGGAAAGAGCTGGGTAGAGGCAAGGGCTGGGGGGCGGGGTCACGAGGAGAGGGTGAGGGGAGACGAGCAGGCAGTGGCGGCGGTGTGATTAGAACGGAGATTGATGTGAAGGGGCGCCACAGACGGCAGAGAGAGTCAATAAAACGAGAGGATCACATTAGAGGCGACAGAGAGAGCTTTAAATTACAAGGCTGCTGCCACCGAGGGGGATGGGAGGAGGCAGGCCCGGAGCCAAGGGAGGGTGGAGAGTTCTGAGGGTATAGTCATCCCCCAAGATGAATCTTCCAGCTCCTAACCTAAAAGGCCTTGTCTCCAGAGCACCCTGGCTGTCCCTTCATTCCATCTCCCTCCCTAATGCCTCCTACCCTCACAGAGGGAAGGAGGAGAAAGCTATAGAGAAATAGGAGATATTTTTATTTTGCTTTGGTATATTCCCACCTTCCAGATGGGAAGTATGGAAAGGCTGCTTTCACTGCACTGCAAATATTCTTCTTTGGAGGTGGACAGAAAGGTACCCTGTAAAAAGCTGGTCGAGCATCCCTATTTCTTTTAAATTTTCTAAAAATTGATTTTTATTGATTTCAGAGAGAAAGGAAGAGGGAGAGAGAGAGAGAGAAACATCAATGATGAGAGAGAATAATGGATCAGCTACCTCCTGCCCTCCCATCCCCCACCCCACCCCCGGGATCGAGCCCACGACCCGGGCATGTGCCCTGACCAGAATCAAACTGTGACTTCCTGGTTCATAGGTTGATGCTCAACCACTGAACCACACCAGCCGGGCTGAGAATCCCTATTTCTTGATATGCACTCCCTGTTCAGAAGGCAGATAGATACACAGTACTTAGAACAGGGAGAAACCAGGGGGCAGAGCACAGCAGGACCCAGAGAGCTACCGAGATAGAGCTGTTATGAGGTGGAGAGAAAGGCTCAACGTGTGGACAGCTGAGAGGCAGGCTCTGAGACCACACAGCCAGGGAGATCACTGCGAGGCTTCAGAACCAGAGAATTACAGAAGCCAAAGGGGAAAGGGCAAAGGAAGGACCAAAAACATGAAGTCTGAGGAAGGAGCCTGCCCCACGTAGGAGGAGCCAGGGCATGGGTTCAGGTTGGCCGGTAGGACAGGAGGCAAAGCTAGGGAGGAGCTCACCCTCTGGAGCCCCCAGTAAGATCAGGACTACCGCTGGGTACAGCCCCCCTCTCCTCTGTCCGCAGGGAGAGGAAAAGAACAGGAGAGGACAGGCCAAACGGGCACAGAAGGCCTTTCTCCTCTGGACTCCTCTTCTTAAAACGAAAACCCCTTCCACACCTGACAAGGCAAAGGCTGTCCCAGCAAAGTCGGCCAGAGGGCACCAACACATCAGCTTAAAATTTGCACACAATGACGTCCACATCAGAGCCTTCCAAACATTTTTTCTGCCTTTCACTTTTCCAATGTTTCGTCTGTCCTCTTTCCCTAAAGCAGAGCCAAATTTTAGGATCTTTTCTCTTTCCTCGCTGAAATTCTTGCCTGAGGTACTGCTCTCTCCCATACTCGTTTTGCCCTTGCCCCTCTCCCCTTTCTGACTCAACCTGTTGCTTTCAAGAGGAGTCCACCATGGAGAGGAGGGGGAGAGAAACAGAAAAGATAGTGTGCACACTGCATGGTGGGGGGGGGG